GATTCCTTTTTTCAGCTGAATTTTCTAAAAGCAAGCCTGTCTCATTCCAGGAGAATTTCCTCTGGAATTATCCTTGAAGTTGGTGTGATTAGTTTCATCATAAATCCTGTGGACTAAGGAGAAAATTTCACAAAGCACTTCTATGAAAGCTGCTTCTCTGTATCTTTATTTCTCCAAGTTGTAGTACATTGCAAAATAAAAACTTGTTTCTTTCTGATTTCTTTGCAGGTTATATTTTTGCTAGGAAAGCATTTGACCTGAAACACAGGCACCTGCTCCAGGCGACAGAAAAGTGTCCAGTGACTGCACAAAGGAGTAACATTAGAATCATAGAATAGTTAGGGTCAAAAAGGACCTTAATATCATCTAGTTACAACCTCCCTGCCATGGGCAGGGACAACACACACTAAACCATGTCACCCAAGGCTCCGTCCAACCTGGCCTTGAACACTACCAGGGATGGAGCATTCACAACTTCCCTGGGCAACCAGCAGCTTTTCTCATATAAACAGGATCTCATACTTGGTATCCATCCCAAATATATCAATTCTTCCAAAAGGATTTGTGCTTAGCACTGTGTGTTTTGATCTCACACCAAATTATCTGTGGCTGAGCTATGCCAATCCTAATGGAGGCCATTGAGATAGCATCAAAACACTGCTGAACTTACACTGGCAGGACTTGAGTGAGTGCTAAAGCTCTCCTAGATGACAGGGTGCTACTCATATATATGTGCATCTCTGCGTGAGATGTATTCAGTGCCCTATCAGCCACAATTCTATTACAGACAACTCTGTGTTTATGACTTGGGTGGAAATAAGCAGTGCTACAGGGGGAGAAGATCTACCACACTCATTGGCCTTATGCTTACATCTAGCAATCAATTTTCCTTCTGCAAAAATGAAATAACACACCATGAAACAGCGCAATATCCAGGGTATTCGGCACAGCACAACATCTTAAACAGAGGAAGTTTCATTCAGTCCTTGGTCTAGATACAAATTCCAGTCATGCTGAAACACAGAGAGCTCCTTAAACCACAGAATTCAAAAAAGGGTTCAAGGAAGTGCTGGCAGATATTTTCTGTCCTGCATGCTGTGTAGTTCAGCAGCTAGCCACAATTAACACAAGAGAAAAGGCGATAGCAAGTTACTCTTCTGCTGTTCTTTGTTCAACAAATGGTTTGCAAACTCTTTTTGTCCATCAACATAACTCTGTCCCTTCTCTTTCCAAGTAGGAATTTGTCCTGCTATCCTAAAGTTTACTCAGGAAATCTGTTCTAAGACTTCTGCACTTAAAATAAAAATTCCATTAGATGTTCTTGATTTTAGAATGTTTCTACATATTTAACAGGTGATTTGATGTGAAATAAAACAAACACAAAAAAGTGTCCAGACTGAATCGCCTTACAGCATAAAAGATAAAACAGATCAATGATAAGAGAAGGAGCTACATTTTCATGACTGACCTATATTGCTCTCTAATCCATGTGGCCTCTGCAATTACATAATTCCTAGGAATCTGAAAGCAGCACCTCTACATGCCTGAATCACTGATTCATTCTGGTACTGTTCAACACTACTGCTTCTTGTAATGTATGGCTTCTACTGATGGCAGTACCAGCCTTGTACTGGCAATGTACTAGGATGGCAACTTCCAGCCCTGTTGACATCTAGCTGACTTCTCTCAGCATTCTGATGCAGAGATCAGTTTCCTGCAGAGAAGGATAAGCACACTCATCTCTACAGATTTAGTCCTGCCAGGTTTTTTCTAGTTGAGAAAGCAAACGAGGAAAAGGAACAGATTGCTACTCTTCAAAATAAACCCCTAGATCACCCCTGCAATGCTGGAACAGCTCTTCTGATAAAGCTCCATGAAGCTGGAAAAGCCAGATTCAGGATGGAACCATGTTCTGTTGGACAAAGGCATGGATAGCGAGGCTGTCAAGAGAAAAGCTATAGCTCCTTGAGTCTCTTCCCTAAGACCCAAACCTGGAGGAGGGTAAAGGAGATGGAAATCTGCTTTGACACTTGCCAGATGGCAAAGCTTAAAACTGTGTCCTCTGAACAGCAGAAAGACATGTCTCTGGTCACGTTTTCCTCCATCCCCAACACACATGCTATAACAAAATTAGTGTTTCCTGGGGACTGGATACACATTGAGCTTTCCCAGCTGGAGAATCCCAAGCACTCTGTGGTCATCATGTACTGTTTCAAACCTGCAAAGCCAAATCAGTCCCTTGTATTCATGCCTCATTCAAAGTGCCTGGACTGTACATCCACCCACACCCCTCCATTCCCAACCCCCAGTTTTACACAATTGGAGTGCTGGCTTTGCCAGCAGTTAGCAGGTTTTAAACTGCATTATTTATTACCTTGAGAAAAAAAAAAGGATCATTACTGTGTCTGAAATTCACTGAAAAAACATGTAGTGAGCCAGCAACAAAAAACCTTTTCACACTTCAGGCAAATATTCAGTGACTTCCTTAATATATATAAATATGTTATGATCTGAGAGCTCAGCTAAGTCATTTAGTGGTTTCTACTGTCTTCTGTTAAAGAGTCTTTGTGGTGTTATTGGGTAAAATTAACTTATAAAGAGAAAGTTTATATATGATGAACAACATGTTTGGCTAGAGGGTGAAAAAGACAATTAACAGCTTTTGCACCCTTTCCTCCAATGACTGAAAGCAATATATCAGCCCAGAACATTCCAATTATGAGAGCACAATGGAAAAGGAGATGGAGAAAGTCAGGCTCCTAAAAGAAAATCATAGGGTAAAATAATACAGATTAACACAAATTAGTAGGAGTCCTGTTTCTTAACATGTACTAAGATTTCTATCATTGCTGATGTTAATAATTGACATGAAGTACAGTAAGAGTTAGATAACAGCAGGAACGTTCAGGCCAGGAACTCATTTCATTTTCCAGTGGTGTGAGGCACTGGGTAATGGGGAAATGCATAACCTTATTTCAGAGATGATCTTGCTTTACTGCATTACATCTCAAGGAATTTTGTACTGTCCAGAAAGAGATTTCTGCTTGTGGCATGTGACAGGAAGTGTTCTTCAGAGAGTGGAAAAAGAACAGGATGTGGATTTTGTTCATGAAAGTGAATTAATAGCAAAGCCTTGAGTCAGATATAAGCTGCATGGCTATTGTGCAAGCCTCATCACACTGCACTGCCAACTCACCCCAATTTATGACCTGGAACACAGCAACTTTTACAACTTTTAGCTGGAACTGCAGGTTGTACCAAAGCTTACAGTGGTTTTATAAATACGAGGGAAAGAGGTGAAAGCTCCAAATTTCTTTTGCTTTTTAGGCTAGCTCAAGTATAAGCTGGACAAAGTATGGTGACACCCTGCACCTCCTGAGCATGCATCTGAGTTCAGGGTTTAAATACAGTCACTTTATAATCCCTGAAATCTGAATGCATGTGCAAGCCAAGATCTGTTCTCGAGCAGAAGCAAGTACATGTAAATGAGCATGATCAACATTAGCATGGGTATTGTCTACAAACTCATGTGGGCAAGCCACGTTATAATTTTCACCATCATATGTGATAGGGGTAACATTTTTATGGCCTCAGAGTCCCAGAAAATATCAGCCTACTCAGACTGCTGAGATAAATGTCCTCTGTGCGCAGCCTGCCAGCCCCAAGAATTTACCAGAGAGAGGGAGTTCAGGCTTTTGCTTCTCCTCACACTGCCAGAGTCCCAGCTTTCTGGTTCATACCACCAAAAGCCAGCTTAAACCAGAGGTGAATCTACTACATGATATAACAAACTGCTATTGCTCTTATTTGTCCTGTATGTCCTTATCTTACAGTCTGTAATTAATCACCACCCTGGAAATCAAACACTAAGGTATTTGTACATTCTCTTTGAAAATACATTTCAATTTCCTTTTACTCGAACTGCCCTGTCCTTTGCCACACCTGCTCAATGCATCACTCTGCATAGCACACACTGTACATACCTGAAGAGTTTGATGAGTCATGCCAGACAGGGAACATAATCGCCACAGAAAGAATATAAGATTGAAAAGTGTGATGCAATTGCATATGGAGATGTCTGTTCATTAGCAAATATTCACATTTACATGGTGGTGATGATTAGAATACGTCATGACTCAGGCCTAGGTTCTCTTCTCAGAACCATGAAATCCACTGTACAAGCTTCACATGTACCAAGTTTGTACCAAGCACCAAAGTCATGTACAGACAAACGGTAATCTAACCCCATCTGCTTGGTACATACATGCTTAGCCTTCATGATTGCTGAGATCTGCTTATTCTCTACTATCCAGAAATAATTTTCTCTTTGCAGAAGCGATAACTGGGAGAGGCTGATTTTATGGGCACAGCAGTGCAGATGAATTGGTCTCCTATCTCACATTTATAGGGAAGGTTTCCTTTGTCTCAGCACAGCTCTCGGGTATAGCTGAAGGTACGGCTAGTTACTCTGTACTGTCATTAAGCTTAGTGCATTCATCGGGGTTTAGAACAAATATCTTAGAATCCCAAAGCTGTCCTCACCATACAACCTGCAGGGATTGCTCTGTTACCTGCCTCAGATCATGATGGTTCTTTATCTTTTATTTTCAGTACTGAAATGTTTTTGCCATTCTGTGATGTGTTTCCACTATGAATTAATAAGTTGTATTTTGCAAATATGCAGACAGATGGCTCTGAGGATTGCTGAATTACCATAGTCTGAAGGACAGCCACGTTATTGCTGTTAATAGTCTCTACTTGATTGTTTAAAACAACTTAATTTCTATACAAAAAAGCCTGAAGCAACTGGAAATGCTGAAAGCAATACTCCAGTCTCTACACATCCTGAGACTGGTTCAACAAAGTTCTTGTCACAGATGCAAAGTTGCATCTAGCCCGAGATCTCCTTGGCCCATCACTCTCAAACTTCCACTAATGGAAGAAGTTTCAGCAGTACCAGAGCTGAGAAACACTGGCTTCTTACCATTTCATGGACTCACTTCAGTCAGCAATTGTTAGTCAAAGCTTCTATGAGGATTGCATACTCACAGTGGTTCTTTCTCTGCTGCGTGTGGATTCTGTGGTGTCTTTAGACACTGAAACCTTCCCTGTGTTGAGACAGTGCTGTATGTAAACCCTTCTTCCCTTTTTCTTCTTGTCAAAAAGGGTGGAACTAGCCAATGTGGTACAGAAACTATAAGGACAAAAGGTGGAAGAGAAAGTCAACACAGAAAATAAGACTAAAAATAAAGTTATCTATTGTATTTCAGTCTGCTTTGTGCAAAGAAGCTAAAAAAGCACACACAGACTTAAATTGATGCACTACTTGTTCTAACGTGGTGCGATATACCGCATCTCCTGAACCAATACAAGGACTGAGCTCTGAGTCTGCTGAACTTGTATTATGAAGCAAGGAAAAAGAACTAACTAGTACTTTATTCAAAGTTTTACTGGCAGCTTGTCTGTTCTGATGATTTAACTGTTATTTACACTGAAACCAACATGCAAGAAGATTGTAGGCTATGACTCCCAAGGGAGCAGCTATGGAATTTTTGCATTCTGCAGAATGTTATGGGTTGGCAACTGCTCCTGTGTGCTACACAGATCACTTCAATCCCCTGTATTTATCCTATAAACAAGAAAGTGCTCCACACTGTTGCGCTAAAGAAAATAGCTGAAATCCAAAGCAGCTCAGTCCTGTTTAAGCTGTCCCCAGACACACTGCCTACCACGAGGGTTTGTTTTTCATTTATTTGTTAATGAAAGCTGGCAGCAGATGCTACACTTTTATTGAGCACATTAATCATTGAAAGAAAACAGTATTTCTGCTGCTCTGGCAGCTCCTGTACTACATATAAATAAGGCCTGCTGCTTTCCTGTTAACCCTGTACATAATGCAGAATCCCCTCAAGCACTGGCTTTCTGTGCAGTAGTATGTTTCTCCTGTAAGACTGGATGCCTAGTGTGGATGCAAGTAAGATCTGAAGCCATCCCTCCAGCTTCCGATTCAAAATCCAATGTGGCAATAAGTACAAACAGTGTGTGGCAGATGCTTGGATGCTTTTGAGAAATATGAATTTCATTTGATCCAGTTGCTAGTTTTCAAAGAATACTAGGAAGAACATCAACAGCTTAACCCTAGTGATTCCTGTCATTCATAGCTATACTACAGCACTCACAACAGTATGTGCTGTATGCCTGTAAGGCATTTGGGAACTCGTTGTGCATGTGCCATATATACTCTTCATAAATGCGTAGCCACTAGCACATCCACTTGCTCATCTTGTTACAGGGTAACATGAAGGGTGTGCAAGTGCACAACCTATCAATCTACTTAGGCCTTAAAAGGGCCGTTTTTTCTCCCCACTCCTAGTGTATGAGTTATGTTATTAATGGCTCTCTTGAGACAGTCTTCTCTCTTGAAAGCAAGCCCCTGCATACACTGCTCCAACAGAAGTTCAAAACTGTACCTAAGAGCACCAAACATTCGGGTTCATTGCACTTAACGCTGATTTGTGCCATGCAGCACAATTGCAGCACACTGCCTAGGGCCTACTCCAGAAGGTAGGATAGCACTCTTTAGGTGGGGTAATGGGTCTTAAAGCAGTGATAACAAATATGACCTACTCTCCTCAGCAAAGCTGCAGATGATAATCATAACTTTTATGTTCTCATAACCACACATTTAAAGTTTTGACCATATTTCTGAGGAAAAAGAGTAGAGCAGAGAAATGCAGCTCGTGCAGCTGCAAAGGTACTAATCCAAGGCCAAAGAAGCCTTCAAGTACAAGATACTTCAAAAGTGTTTTCCTGATCAAATAGACTGCTATTCATATATAGTTTCTTTATCTCCTGCATTGGAAAAAAATCCCTGAGGTCAATATATTAAATTCAGTGGAAACTCCAGTGATGTAATCCTCTTCTTGTCTGTTACTGCATACTCCAGGTTACACTGAAGGATGTACCTGTCTGATGACCATTTGTGCTGCACAACTATGGAAAATTGTTCTAAGAGTTGAGTATAACAAAGGAAGTGACAAACAGTCCTTGGCAGAGGTCTGCACATTTCAGTATACAAAGAAGAAACTATCATGGGAATCTCTATATTACAGAAAAATGTACTGTACTGAATTAGGCATTAGTTGGGGTTTTTTATCTCTAGGCCTATCTTTCAAATCGCTTTCTTAATCAGCCCTAGGAGAAATCATTTAAATGAACATCTTCATTAGTGTCTGTAATGAATTCAGGGCAAATTATAAATACACCAGGTAAACTAATTTTACTCTGATCTACTTGAGAGCAGGTTTCTTAGCTAAAGCCAGTTTTATTCACACTGTAGCAGAGAATACCCTGGGCTGAAAAAGCCACAGTGGGATGGGGCAGAATCAGAGCAAGGCTAGCAGGAGCTCACTCCGCAGTTCTCAAAGCACTTATACTAAGTACAAATTGCAGGTTCTCATTTTAGACACCTTGTCAATAGGCTTCCAGAGAGATGGAAAATGCAGGACATGTTAATTGTGCCTTCTTGGTAGTTAATTTCATATATCTCCAGTAGACACTGCATTTTCCAGCCTGAAACAGGCCTTTTCTAAGAACTAGACTAGTCCAGCTTGGTGTTGACAGGAATTCATGCGCAATCTCTGAGTTTGTTATTCTTTAAGATACATTTCAGTTTTTTTCTGTCCTGCAGATTCACCCTAAGGCTGTAAAGTTATTGTGAACAGTATTTATTAAATGGAAGACAGGGACAGCTGCAGCTCCCAGAATGATAAATAATATTTGATGTTGTTAGTTTTTTGTACACAAATGTTTTAAGATCTGTGTGAGTGCAAACAAATTATCCCAGATGAATACAAATGTTAGAATATCGGTTCTCCTTTCAGTTCCAGTGATCTCTAGTACAGTCAAATAGTTAGGAAAGATTAGAATGTGACTCCGTAACAATTTTTTAAACAATTTTTACCACATTTTCCACCAAAACCAAAGAGTTCCTGTTTTACTGCCGTCAGTGCTGCAGGAATTCTTTCATCTGATCACAAAAAATCTGAATTGTTACCAAAAAAGCTTAAATATAAAGGCTCAGTGAATTAGATTTTACACTAACAACGACATTTCAAAGACCTAAGGCAATTATGTCATTGTGCCTGCTGTAGCCTCTTCTGGCTTGTGTAAGGTAAATCTGTTGTTGCGGATACTAGCTAATATAAGTTTACCTCTAGTAGTAAGACTTTAAAATACTTGATTATTCTGCATGCTTAAAAACTTCAGCTGCACAGTTTATACAGCATGATGATTGGAAAAATCAATCACCCCTAAGTATCTTAAACAAGGAATGCTTCAGTATTCAAAGTCCTTGCTTCAGTAGTTTGCTCACATTAGCTGTCCTGCTGCTCCAGCTTCCCGGGAGATTACACACTACAGAAGGTGACGTGAGGCTCTTCAGAAACTTTCCAGTCTATCATAACAGAAAAAGATGACTTTTTATGCAGACTTTATCCATACTTCACAACACTTTAACACAGCAGCTTACATTTCCAATTCTTCTTGTCTATTACCAGTCATATTTAATATTACTATCTGCTTATATGGGAACAATAGTGTGGCAGTACTTTGCAGTGTAAATGTTTCACTTCTGATGATGCGCAAGACATTTGAACAAACAGTATAGCAAGAAATGACAGCAAACTACAAGGAAAGAAGATGGACAAGAAGAAGGAAAATACGATGATCCGCAATTCATTTTATGACCTGCCACAATACACGCTCATAAGCCTGTGAACACAGAGGCTACATTTTACATACAGGGCAAATTTAAGTCCATTCTAGCAAACAGAATTTATCCATAGTATAAACCAGTGTATGTTCGGGCTAAAAGAACTGGGCTATTAATTTCTGTTCATGTTAGACTTTACTTGGGAGTTAAATTAAATGTGGTTTCTCCAGCAGACCCATGTAACTCTACTGATTTGTTTATAAAATATACTGATAACAAAGTTACAAAAGCAAAAAGCAAGTTATTATTTTACAGCAGACTGTTTGGAGTCCTTGGAAATAACTTAAGTCCTCTAATGTGTTTGGAGAAGGGGAAGAAGAAAAAGAGGTTAGGGAAGTGAAAGTAGGATATTCATATGTCCACCAAAACAGCTTAGAATGTTAGCTTTCTCTTCCAGGAAATAAACCAAACCTCATTATTTTTAAGTTCTTCTGTATTGTATTTTTGAGCACTGTGTCTTTAATTATTGCAATGTGCACTCAGAAAACACTTCCTAACTAAAGCGCCTGATCTTTTTATGGTAGAACTGGTTAATTTTTTTTTTTTCCTTTCTTTTTTACCTCTTGCTTCAATGCAGATAGATAAAGCTGGGAAACTCCATCAGTAGATACATGACAACATGACTACATGCCTTATGGTTATCATGATCTCTAACTACTGATGACTTCTGCAGTAAGATGACCTACTGGAGTTGTACGTGTCAAAACAGCAACCCACCAAACAGACGTCACCAACAAAACAACAGATAAAAATAGTTAAGGAATGGCCAGGATAAAAGTTACCTAGCTAACTGTCACAAGCATTTGCTTTTTGCTGCAGATCGCACCCACAAAAGCTGTCAAGGAACACACTGAGTGACATATAAAACCAGTACTGCCTTGAACATTTTATACCATAACCCCAAGACTATATGTAGAAACACCAGTCAATTTACAATTAGAACATAGATCAGAAAAAGGTGTTATGCATAGTATGACACCAAAGTTCTGGATTTGCTGCCATTTACACTCACAGAAACTTACAGTCTTTCTGACCCTCTCTAAATATGGATGCTGGCATGCACATCAGAGGCTGGCTGTGTACAGATGGATTACCAACCATGAGTCAGACTTTCTGCTTTCATAAAAAAAGAAACAAACTTGTAAAAACCTTCAAGTGATTTTTAGCAAATCAGACAAGGTTATACAAATAAAACACAATAGCCATGTGATTTCACTAAAGCCAATTACATCTAAATAACCACAATACAGAGGTATGAACTGTTCTTTGTCAGTTACTCATTAGCCAATCTCCATTAATCATAAAAAATATTTGATTCTATAACTGCAATCTCCCAATCAGGGTTTTCCTCAGGTGGCCTTGGTCCAGCTACTATCCCTTCTTTCCTTGCTAAGATGTTTTGCAATAGCAGTTGATGAGTGGGAGTTACAGAAAGA